CCACCTGCCGACCCCCCCAAGGATTTATTTTCAATAATGATAAAAAGTAGTAATTGTGTGTGAAGTTGGCATTTTCATAAACTGTAGTAGTGTAAATTGGTACCACTTCTTTGGAGGAAAATTTAACTTTCTTTTTTTTTTTTTTGGAGAGGATTTTGCTACAGGGAGTATGAGCTCACCAGAAAGACAGAGACAGAGAGTCAGAAAGCGAGAAATCAACCCCAGAAGGATGGCAAAGCCTCAATCCCTTCTCCTCCATTCTCTTCTCGGGATCTTGCGCATGCACACACACCCATCTGGTGTGAGTTTAAGCCACCGGGTCCGGGACTCGAATGGCAGTCAACTATGTGGGAGTCCAGCGACATAGCCATTACACCAATTGCTGGTCCCGGAAAATTTAACTTTCAATATCTGCAAAAAGTTTAAAATGTCATGTTTCCTAGCAACTCACCTTTTAGTAATTTATTATAAAGAAATGTTACCACATGAACAAAAGGATATATGCACAAGGATGTTCACTGCAGCCTACTACAGCATCACCATAGAAACCAGGATTTCCTTCAGTAGGGAGTGTTTACACTAATGCAAAGAAAATAAACGAGATTCCATGTTTGAAAATAGTGATAATCTGGGACCAGCAGTTAGCATAATGGCTATGTCATTGGACTCCCGTGTAGTTGACCGCAGTCTGAGTCCCAGACCCAGTGGCTTAAACTCACACCAGGCATGTGTGCGTGTGTGGCCAAGATCCAAAGAGGAAAATAGAGGAAAAGAGATTACAACGGGCCACTGGGAGGTCATTTCTCGCTTTCTGTCTCTGTCTCTCTGGCAAGTGTATGCGCCCTATAGCAAAAACCTCTCAAAACAAACAAACAAACAAAAACATAACAGAGTGATAATCAGGTAGATCAGTACCTCTAAGACAGGTTAGTAGGTAGAAAAACAAGATGGTAACCTCTGGGAAGAAAGGGCAGTAATGGGATAGGGAGAGGCATAGTCCTTTTTTGGCACACTTTTTGTACTATTTAGACTTTTTTCACGTACTCATAGTTTTGTTTTAATTTTTTAAAAGCTGAAAAAGAAAAAAAAAAAAACTGGTCAGAGCAGTTTCCCTAAAGTGGAAGAGGCTGGAGCTGGAGTACAGAGGATCAAGTAGTAATTTAAACTTAAGAAACATGAGGGGTTGGCAGGTGGCATGGTGGTTAAAGATGCTGGACTCCCACATGGCTGACCATGGTTCGAGTCTCAGACCTGGGAGCTTGCTTTCTCACTTTCTCTCTGTCCCTCTCCCTCTGTCTTCCTCTTGTCAAAATAAAACTAATAATAATAATAATAAATAAAGTTAATTTTTTTTTATTTTAATTTTTTTCACATGAGTTTTGCCAGAGAAAGATGGAGGTAGAATGAGAAAGCTGCTAGGATCAGGACTTGAACCTCAGTTAACCATGTGGGAATCCCAGAGCCTTAACCACCACACCACTTGCCAGCCCAATAAAATAATTCTTTTGAAAAACATGCTGGGCACGTGTGCCTGTGTGCCCAAAATCCTGAAAAGAGGGCAAGATGAAGGGATTACAGCATGATTGTTCCCCAAGGAGGGTGCCTTCACACTTTCTCTATGTGTGGGTGCGTCTTTCTCCAGCAAGGGCATGTGCTCTCTGTCAAAATTAAAAGAAAAAAAAAGAAAGAAAGAAAAGAAAAAGAAGAAAGAAAAGAAAAAGAAAAGGAAAGAAAGACCCATCAGGAATGGAGGTGACAGTGGAACATATGGGTTCATCTCCCCTTCCTTTTCTTTAATCCTGAACATGGTCCACCCAACAACTTATTACTGTTTCCGGGTTAGAGGTTAATGCTCAGGGGACATATTCCCAAACGAACATAGGACGACCACAGGGGAAGGTAAAGTAGTGACTCTGCACCTTGCTAGAGCTGACTTTGAACTGGCTGTGGTCGCGTGGCTTCTTCCACCTTCTCACTGAAGTGCCTGCTGACATTTTCTTTTGGAATTTGCTAGAGGATGGATGTGCTTCCCAGAAAGAGAGAAAGGAAGCACCATGCCCCCATAGGGGACAGCCACATTGCAGTCCCCTCTTCTCCTTTCCTCCCTTTAGGATTTTGGGCTCTGCACACACTCCCGCCTGCACATCCCTCAAGCAGCAGAGTCCAAGACACAAACCTCGCAGTCTGCCATGTGGGACCTAGCCTCCCCAGCCCCCGTGCCACCAGCCAGCCTGCCTGCTGAGATTTCCTGTTTACAAAAGAACCTCCTAGGAACATTTGTTATTTGAAATTGCCCTGGAAAGGTTCCAGGTGTTGAGGCACTGAAAAAAGTTTCATATATAGCCTTAACGTTGTGTGGAGAAATGGAAAACTTTGCTTTTAGTGAACAAGTAATCAACCATTATTCTCCATTTTCTTTTTGTGAGCGCCAAAGTTCGTTTCAGAGTGTTCATAGATATAACTGTTTTATAAATTAGCCGCCATCAGAAAGACCATTCTACCATTAGAGATGGAAGCAGCAAACCAGGAAATAAGAGATCTCGCAGGAGTGGGAAAATTTCTTTAACTCTGAGAACTTGTCTGCATTGCCTGTTAGGCTGCAGTCTTAAAGATGGGCCAAGTAATTCCAGACCTATAGTATTATTAATAGTTTAACTCTCCACAGAAAAGCCAGGCTGATTCAAATTTATGAGGGGGAAAAAAAGCTTTAGAATAAGTAAGGCACAAGAACTAGCAGATGGCATAATGGTTATGTCGCTGGACTCCCATGTAGGTAACCACAGTTCAAGTCCCAGACCTGACAGCTTAAAACTCACACTGGGTGTGGGTGCATGTGTGCCCAAAATCCCAAAATCCCAAGAGAAGACTGGAGGACAAGGCATTGCAGTGTGACCATCCCCCCCCTCCCCGGAAGGGGTATTTCTCAATTTCTGTCTCTCTGTCTCTCTGGCAAGTGCACACACCCTATAGCAAAAAATTTTTCAAGAGAAAACAAAAAAGAAAATGATGTGGCCAGCAGGTGGCAGTAGTTAAGGGCGCTGAACTTTCACAGGGCCAACCAGGGACGCGGGATTCCCACAGGATTGACCAGGGTTTGAGTTCTCTGCCTAGCAGCTTGCTTTCCCACTTTTCCTCTCACTCTCTCTTGCTCTCTCTTTCTCTCTTTCTCTGACCCTTTCTGGTCAAATTAAAATAAATAAATAAAGTTAAGTAAGATAATTCTTTAAAAAAATATATCTATAGAATCAGAGTTCTAAAAATTTCTGGAGTAATTATCTAGTCTCCATTAAAAACATGTCATAGTGGTTTTTAAATATTTTTAAATTGGGGCAGCTTTTAGAATCTGAGGAAAATACACGGGGTTAAAAATCCAAGTCCAGGGACCAGCAGTTAGCGTAATGGCTAAGTCACTGAACTCCCACGTAGTCGACTGCATTTTGAGTCCCGGACTCAGCGGCTTAAAGTCACGCTGGGCGCGTGTGCGTGTGTGCCCAATTTCCCGAGAGGAGAATGGAGGAGAAGGATTGCGGTGTGGCCATCCCCTCTAGGGGGTGATTTCTTGCTTTCTGTCTCTCTGTCTCTGTCGTTCTGGCGAGGGCACTAGCCCTATAGCAAAAAAAAAAAACCTCTTAAAAAAAAAATCCAAGTCCAAGTCAGGAGTTATCTGAATGAAAAAATGTAGATGCTACTTCTAATATATCAATATACATTATTGACTATATCAAATGGGAATCATCTGTTAGATATTTACATTTAGAGGTTTATTAAACTCTTACGAAAATGAAACATTACCAAAGAGATTGATTCGTTACTAACCAATCAACATTTTTATACACTACATCCAGATCTAAATTTATGTGACAGCACTATCCCATTCTTTAATGTAACATTTTTGCATTAAATAAAATCTTATTTACCATCAGAATTCAAAAGACCCAGATTTTTTTCAACCTAATTTTGTATCATATTGAGACATTTAGATTCTACCTAGAGAATTTTATCCTCCGAACATTAAATACTCAAATAGGATACCAATTTTAGAAATCTTACAACAAACACCTCATGAAAAGGAAAACTTCATTTTATCCTTATGCATTTCTTAATAATGTCTCATCTTCCCATGATGTATTTTTCTCACTTTTGATGAATTCAGAGAAGGAAGTTAAGTTACTAATTCATGTATTTTCTTAAAAATGAAGTTATTTCCCTCCATTTTCTTTATTTTCTGAGATTAAATGTTTTAAATGATTTTACTACAACCCACATCAAGAAATGCATTTCATATTTCACGTAGCTCATGTATGCAGGAAAATATATACATACTTATTTCAAGATTCATAAACAAAATTTAGTGAAACAATATTCAATCTTACAATGTAAGATTGATTTTTCTATGCTATTTTATTTTATATTTAAATTTTTTAAGAGACCCTCTAAATTTTTTTCAAGATATTCTAAAGAGGAGAATGCTAAAGTTTAAAATAGTGTGTCTTAGAGACTTTAGTTGGTGCATGAAAGCATTTAGTAAGAGGATAAACACCAGAATTAACACTAAAGGTGAAACTGCAAAACTAGCTTTTTATTTGAAGCATTAGAAACTTTAATGGTTGCATTAAAGCACTTAATAGGAGGATAAAGCTAGGACACTAGAAACTAAACCAAAAAATGAGCTTTAGTTATTTGGGAATTTCTATTCATTAGGAACTTCTTAGTTTCCCTCTAGCCAGGCATTGCAGCCTCCTCTGAAATCTCGCAGACTTATTTCCTACTGTGGCCAAATCTATTCTCCAGCTCTGCTGTAAACTATAAACTGAATACAGAGATGGCATTTTTATGTGGTAATTTAGACAGAGAGAAAGAGCTGTGAATTCGAAGTTGGAAGATCTAAGTTTGCAGTTTTGCCATAGTAAGCTGAGAGATTTGACGTAGGTCACTCAACATCACAGAGCCTCCGTTTTCGCAATTATGAATTCAAGACATTAATAGGCAAAAGAAGTCACCTTGAACTTCCAGTTTCAGCTCCAGTATGTAAACAGCTCAAAAGTTGTCATTCACCTAGAGATGGAAGAAAAAGAGCTAAGAACATTTGTGAAGGTCACAACCTAGGAACACATTAAATTCTGAGGTTTAATCATACAATTATAGAATACTTCTACCCCCACACACTTTACCACTGCATCAATAAGGTCTAAAGTAATAACAATGGATTATAGAGCTGCAAAGCTCAGACTCTAGTTAAGAAGCTCTTAGGGAAGCTCAAAGACAACGGAGAGACCAAAACAAGAACACTAGAGTAATTTGAGTCTCTTTAAACACACCTCAACTTCTAGTCAGTTTAACATTTAATTTCATATGAAAAATTTTTTATCTCATTTCCTGTTACCTGATATATTGTGTTGGGCTTTCTACAACAACAAGAAAAATATTACAAGGCACATAACGTAAAAGGTAAGAAAAAGCACAGTCTGATGAGTAAAAGCACCGCCAGAATTAGAGTCAGATATAACACAGATTTTGAGATTATCAGAAGGGAAATTTAAAGTAACCATAATTAATATGTTAAAATCTCTACTGGAAAAAGTAAAAAAAAAAAAAAAAAAAGTAAGAATGTATGTGTAATGAAAGCAGAGAGGTAGAAAGCCTAAAAAGAAAAAATCAATAACAAATGCTGGAAATCAAAAGAACTCTAATAGAAATGACGACTACTTGTGATGGGCTCATTAGTAGACTAGACAGATCCAAAAAGAATGAGTGAGCTCAGTTCAAAAATATGTCAACAATTACTTTTCAAACTGAAAGGCAAAGATCTAAAAGAGAGAAAGAGAGAAATAATACCAAAAACCCTGAATATCCAAGAACTGTGAGACAATTTAATGAGATGTAACATATGAGTACCTGAAATACCAAAGGACAAGAAAAAGAGAACAAAGCAGAAGAAATATTGGGTGAGAACTTTCCAAAATTAATGGCAGACACCAAACCACAGATCTAGGAATCTCCACAAACACCAAGCAGGATAAATACCAAAAACCTACACCTATGCATATCATATTTAACCTGGAAAACCCAACAATTAGGAGAAAATCTGGTTGGAAGCCAGAAGAAAAGAACACTTGACCTATAGAAAAAACAGAAATAAAAATTACAGTGGACTTCTCATTACAAACCACACAAACAAGAGGGAGTGAAGTGAAGTATTTAAAGTGCTAAAAGAAAATATCACCTAGGGTACTGGATGACAGAAATACATACATTTGACAAAACCCGTGTCCTTGCCTTGAAATCTAAAATCGATAGTCCTCAAGTGGGGAGGAATAATTTGTTCAGTGAATGATCTAAAAGAATATGTACAAGGAAACCAAATGCCAAGTTATTGGCAAGGGCAGGGAAGGTCATTGGAGGAAGTGACATTTGGGCTAAGGCTTACAGAAGAAGTGAGAACTGACAAATGTTCTTTTTTTTTTTTTAAAGTTTATTATTTCTTTCACAAGAGTGAGAGACAGAAGGAGAGAGAGACAAGCACCCCAAACAGGGTCCCATACCACAATCCCTATCCCAGCCTACTCTGCCAATGAAGAGCATGGGTACTGATATCCAGATGTACAGACGGACCAAAGAACCAAACCTGCAACCTTCCATAAGGAATTAAATAGCACATGGCCACTGTGCCACTGAGTTGTCCCACACAGGTTGTTCTACTGCCATTCATAACATTGTCTCTAATTTATAAAACCATTCAACAAGTAGCCCAAGGCACTACGGCTTCCTGAGTAGCCAGCCAGGAGGCTCGAAGTCCTGAAAATTCCGGGGCTAGTTCACTCTGAAGAAATACAAGCAATCAGAAAACTGCTTTATGGTTTATTATTTTGTGTCTGCTGCAGTTTGTCATTACTTTCACTTTAAATTTCAGACGATAAAATGTCCAGAATATGGTTAAATTCCGTGTCAGTGCTTTACTGTGATATAGACTTCTTTTTCAAAAGGAACAAAATTTTATGCAGAAAAATTCAGCTATCAGAATGACTTAGTTTTTTTGGCTGGCAGGGAGCATCGTGGTTAAGAGCGCTGGACTCCCACATGGTTGACTGCGGTTCAATTCCAGAACCTGGCAGTTTGCTTTCTCACTCCCCACCCCCACTTTTTCTCTTTCTCTCAGTCTGTCCCTCTCTGGTCAAATTAAAATAAATAAGTAAATAAATAAAGTTAAATAAAATAATTCTTTTAAACAAACAAAAAAGGATGTAAGTTTCATGATCCTGTCCACCATTATATCCCTAGTGACAACAATATTGCTTAGTGTATAATAAATGCTCAGCAAATATTATATTCCTGAGAGAACAGATTAGAGTCAAGGAAGCACTGAGTACACAGGCAGTGAAACATTTACATTCTCTGACATTTGAACTTTTTTCAAAGGTTTTTGCCACAGGGAACATGCACTCACCAGAGAGGAGAGAGAGAGCATAGCCATTACGCTAACTGCTGGTCCCAAAAGTATTTTATATTTTATATAATATAGAAATTTAGGAAGTTGGGGCTAAACTATCATTGTTATTTGTTTTACATACTACTGGTACATACCTGTATACATATCTGCTAATTTTTCTCCATTTCTTTTTTTACAAAACTCAAGAACCATGTTTAGCTGCGAAAATATTGACCTCTAGGGGTTTCAGTTCTCTATTTCTCTTTAAGAATTATTTTACTGGGGAGCCAGCAGGAAGCAGTGTGGTTTAATATCATTATTATTACTTTTGACCAAAGAGAGACAGTGTGAGAGTGGGACAGTGAGAAAACAAGCCATCGTGTCTGGGACTCTAACCACAGTTGGCCACGTGAGAGTCCAGTGCCCTGATCCACCTTGCCACGTGCTAGTCCCTCTCTGTATTTATTTCTGTGTACAAATATATTCAGATAAAGCAAAATAATAGAGCAGAGAAGAAAGTAAGTTCTCTGGGAAAAATCAGCCATAAGAACTTACTAACTTTGGGGCTGACAGGTGGCGTGGCGGCTAAGGGCGCTGGACTCTGGTTCAAGTCTCAAGACTCGATGGCTTGCTTTCTCACTTTCTCTCTCCTTCTCTTTCACTCTGCCCCTCTCTGATAAAATTAAAATTAAATAAACTGACATAAAATAATTATTTTTTAAAATATAACTTACTAGTCTAAAAACATTTAAATCTGAGGATCACAGAGCCTTTTGCAAGATGTTTCTTTTTTTGTTTGTTTTGTTTTGTGAAGAGCTGGAAACTTTATCAAAAGGAAATGCCTTCAGAGAAACTATAAAGCAAGATATACCATTATCAGAAGGAAAAGTATGGTGAAGCTGTAATAGTACAAATCTGTTTGTCTCTTCACTAAATGTAAACTGAGACGGCCACAGTCCTGTAGACCATTCTAAGTCTGTGACCTCCTTTTTAATAGTGCAAGATGTTTCTGAGGGTTGGTAGGAAGACCTCGAAGTTGAGGAATAGGAGGACTTTGGGGTAAGTTGGGAATTCAAGGCCAAATCACTGAAGTGGAGTCATTAGACAGTGATGTGTCCCTAAATTGGTAGTCCGTGGGGATGGTTTCTGGGTAAAGAGGGCCGTTTCTGGGAGCTTCAAAGGAACAAGCAGGAGGACCGGGGATTCCCCAGAATTGAGGCTGGCCAAACCCCTGTAGACTGCTCCTGAGAGATGCTTTGATGGTCACAAGTGACCAGAGGGCATAGAAAGACCATGGAGAAAACGCAGAGTGCGATGGCCGGTACCACTCCCGTGCTTGCTGTGCTTTCCTTTGGATTACAGATAAAATCAAGAGTCGCTATCCAGGCATTAGGATCCCATTCGAACTCCTGTGTACCTGTGTAGTCAGTTCCTCAATAATGTGAGTCAGATGTCCTTTGAGGGGAATGCTGGTGTAGGGAGGTGTTAGAAGGATGAACTCGTGTTTGGGACCAGCAAATGGTGTAAAGGCTACGTCGCTGGATTCCCAGGAGTAGACCATAGTTCGAGTCCCAGACCCAGTGGCTTAATGTCATGCTAGGCACGTGTGCATGCATGCGAAAGATCCTGAGAGGACAATGGAAGAGAAGGGATTGTGGCATGACTATCCCCCCTGGGGGGTGATTTCTCTCTTTCCGTCTCTCAGTCTCTCTTTCTATTTCTGGTGAGTGCACGTACCGTACAGCAAAAAAAAAAGAAAAGAAAAGAAAAAAAAAGAAAGATGAACCTTTTTTGAGTGACTTTGCAATCATGACAATTTATCCAGTAGAAATTATAATAAAACATATTTCCTATTAACTTTCTAACTAGAAAAATATCAACTATTATATTGCAGGTGGAAAGAAGGTTAAGGCAGCTGGATCCCACATGGCCAGCTGCACGATTGGAGTCCGGGACCCAACAGCTTGAGAATTATGCAGGTATGTGTGCATGCACTCACCCAAAGTCCCAGAAGGATAAAGAAGAAGGGACTGAGGCATGCCCATCCCCTTTGGGAGGTGATTTCTCATTTTTCCTTTCTCTTTCTCTTGCTGCCTTTGGTGAGTGCTCTCCCCCTATAGCAATACTAGAAACCCAAGAAAAAAAATGGTTAGACAAATTTTCATGGAAGAGCAGTGACTGGGGAAGATGAGGCTACCAAGTTTCATCCTTTGAAATTTTGTTGCAGACTCCTGTCACATCTCTGAGGCCATGGGTCTCTTTGTTGGACTCAGGAAAATCCAGGTAGGTGCTGGTCTGAAGGCAGGAGCTTCCATCCTCTCCCATCCCTGTTTTCCTAGGTAGAGTGGGCAGGTTTTGCTCTGTAGTGGACATCTTTATAGGAGAGTCAGGACCGGGACAGGGAGGGTGTCTTTTCCTCACAGTTGAGAGAAACTCATGTCCCAGTTGCCAGAGACAGAACTTGTAACCTGACACCTACTCTGCCTGCCCACCTCTACAGGGAAAACCCTGCCAACCGTCCCTGTGCCCCCCTTCCCATTAAAGGTTCCCAACACAGACAAAGGTTGGGTGTCCTGCCCAAAGGGAAGAACATTCGGGTGACTGCCTGGACGAGTCCCTTACGGCCTTTGTGCATTTCCATGAGAATAGGCAGTTAAATATAGAACCTCTACCAGTATACACATGTAGAGAGGGAAGGGGGCCCTCAGCATGTATTACCTCCACTGGGTCTTTACGGAAACATCACGGAAATGCAGTAACAGACTCACTCATGCCCCATGGTGGAATGCATGCATTGTGGAACCACAAACACATTCACTGTCACACTCACAGTCACTTAGAGGTTACACATTCCCTCCCTACACCAACCAAATTACCAGAGTTGGCCAGAGGCCAACAATTACCAGATGGGCCTTAGCCCTGACCGCTCTGGTCTTGTGACTAAAGGAGAGTGTATAAATCTCCTCTTCCACTCCTGAGTGGGCTGCTTGATGCCGGATGAGTCCTGACTGCCGGTCTTGTGACCGAAAGAGAGTGTACCGTTCTCCTCCTCCACTCTAACTGAGCGGGCTGACTGATAGGACTCTACAGATCCCCCGGGGGCTTACCAGATTACCAGAGCTGCCCACAGAAGATGGATCCAGGTCCGGAGTAAGATGTGGTCCTTCTCTCAAACTGGAGTCCAATGATCCAGGAACACTTGTCCTCTGGGTTATTAATATGCTGGCGGGCGTGGAGGAGTTAACACTCAGAATCTCTGACTGGTATATTAAAGAGTTACCCCTATTTCTCCAGACTACTGCCTTTTTCTTCTTCAGGTGCCTGGTTTTCTGCAACAAGCACAGCTGGGGGTCTTCCTTGCCCCTTGCAGAGGTCTTGGCATCTCAGATCACAGCAAGTCAGGTATTGAGATCAGCATTTACGTAATGGCTATGTCGCTGAACTCTCATGTAGTCAACTGCAGTTCGAGGCCTGAACCCGGTGACTTAAACTCATGCTGGGCGCGTATGCGTGTGTGCCCAGGATCCCAAGAGGAAAATGGAGGAGAAGGGATTGCGGCGTGACCATCCCCCCTGGGGGGTGATTTCTCGCTTTCTGTCTCTGTCTTCCGGACAAGTGCACATACACTAGAGCAAAAAAAAAAAAAATCTCAAAAATAAATAAATAAATAAGAAAAAAAAAGAAAAAAGAAAATGAGGTGTCCAAATGATGTCATAGAAACAAGCAGTGCCTCTTCCCAGCTCTCCTTAGACATGACCCAGAAGGTGGGCCCAGAGTCAGGTGCCCTTGCTAGGTCATTGTAACAGTTTGAGAATTTCTGTACATACACACATATACACATGATGAAACAATAAAACACAAAGACTTAACTATGTTTCAAAAAGGACGTATGAGTCATAGTATTTCCAAAATCTGAGTTTTAAGACTTGGCTTTCTGTGTCTTTTTCACACAAAACTTCCAGGAATGTTAATGTAACTGTTTAAGGGAGGTTGGGGCACCCAGCAGGTGGCCTTGGATTGAGGGTGCTAGATTCCCACATGGCCTACCATGGTTCAGGTCTTGGACCTGGCAGCTAGCTTTCTCACTTCCCTTTCTCTCTCTCTCTCTCTCTCTGTCTCTGTCTAGTCAAATTAGAAATCATAACAACACAAATGAAATTAACCAAATAAATAATTCTTAAAAAAGAAAAAGAAGTTGAAGAGTCTCTGTTCCAAAAGGGAAAAGGACTGCTATGCTGGATGGTTGAGGAAAGGCTGTGGTTCAGCCTCTTCCTCTTCTGGCCCTGCCCACACCCTCCCAAGTTGTACCTTTTGTGATGAAGCAGCCCCAGGTTGGCCCTGGTCCCAAGGGAAACTCCCAGGGCTCAAGGCTCAGTTGCCTGAGAGCAGCAGTGAGATCCAGATGGAGAATTTTTTCTTTCCTCTGAAAAGTGTTACTGACTCATGGCTGAGCTCCAGCACCACCCCATGGGTGATGGATGTCATCCTAGGCATCCTGTGTGGGCTGGGGCTCTTCCTCTTGTTATGTGCCTTCTTCCCTAGCAATCCACCGGGACCACTTCCCCAAAGAAAGACAAATGCCAGGAAGGTAAGAAACCCTCAGCCCAGACCCAACAGATAATGACTTTTTCTAATACTTTTTCCCCTTTTTCCAAACCAACAAGAGAAAGTCCAGAAATGAGAAATCTTGGGGTGGGGGAGGACAGAGCATGCTCCTCCTAGAGGCACTGGGCAGAGCAAAGAGCAGGGTAGGCACTAGGATTTCTACTTGAAGCTCTCAGAACATCTGTGGGTGTACTGGAATGGCCAACGCAAGATAGAACACCAGGACTCAGTGACTTAGATTGGGGGGTTCTCTATGGGGAACAGGCCCTGAGTGCTGGTTCATCAGTTGCTTTCCTGTGGCACGTGCCTGGGACCAAGCCTCTCCCCTATGTCCGGCAGCTGTAGGCCTGTGCTGGGCCCTGGTGCCACCAGTCAGAGGCTGAAGTCCACCAGGGAAACAGACTCAGACCTGAGCTCAGATGTGCCTCAAGATCTGTGTCTGTGTGTTTCCTGAGCACAGGAAAAGGGACTGAGGACATCCCTGGGGGTGTCCCCTAGAAAATACCTCTTAGGAAAAAAAATGACAGAAAATCCCTCTTAGAGGTTTTTGTTTGTTTGTTTTGTTTTCCCCCTATTTTAATTATTTATTTATTTACTTTAATTTGATCATATCATAGAGGGACAGAGTTGGGGGGGGTGAGAAAGCAAGGCACCAGGTCCAAGGCTGGACTGACGGTCAGTCACATGGGAGTCCAGCACCCTTAACCACCATGCCACCTGATGGCCCCCCCTCTTAGAATTGTTTAGAAAGAAAAACAAAGCACTTATTACATTTAAAACAGGACAGAGGGCAGATGATGGTAAAGCAGGGTGCTTGGTGAGGCAGTCCCACACAAGAAGAGCCCTGGTTCCAGTCTGAGGACTTCACTGAGTACACCAGGCATGGCTGTGCCCCTGATCAGGGCTAGACAAAGAAAGGGGCGGGGAGAGGGGTGGCTCATGGAATCAAGACCACATTGGGTGTGTTCTCTCTCTCACACACATAAAATAGATAAGTAAACTTTAAAACAATGAGTAAAAGGGGGAAAAAAAGCACACAGAGTTCCAGTGGGTGAAAACAGAAAGTCATGTAAAAGGTCTGAACCGATCTAGAGAGAAGGGTGAGCACTGGGTCTGAGGCCCTCCTCCTTTCTTGTCTCTTAGCATCTACTGGAGGTAAGGGGAAGGAAGAAGAGCAGGAAAAAAAAAAACAAAACAAAAACTATGTCCCGAAAGGTAAGGCTCTGCCCCTCCCCCTGAAGTCCCTAGAACTGATTTGACCTCCTGGCCCCAAGGGATAGCGCCATGTCTACCAGGATGCCAACTGGAAAGCCCAGAGAGGGAGGTTCCTGAGGAGGAAGTCAGAATTAGCTACTTGTCAGATTCTGAGCTCAGAATGAAGCCAGGGAGGCCAGAGAATGTGGTGTCCAGGAGAAGGCTGGACCAAAGACTGGTGCCAACAATACCTAGATTTGGAAGGGGACCTTCAGCTCCAACTGTGGATAGGGGTGTAACTTTTGTAAAGCCACTTCCTATCTATAAGGTCTGTGCTTCCTTTCCCTAGAGTGGTTATGAGGACCATGAGGGACAGGGGACATGGAGGTGCCTTGTCTGGGATAATGTGCTACCACCCATGACCCTTGCAGTCATGGCCAGGGACAGGGGTCTTGAACACTGATGTTTGGGCTCCAGAGTCTTATCTCCCACTGCCTGCTCTGAATGGACCTTGCACTCAGGTGCCGTAAGGGACCCCACCTCGAGATCCCTCCCTTCTCCACTATGACCCCATCTCCTGGTTTCTAGCCTCCAGATATGGGCAGAAAGAACAAGAGGAGGTTCAGGACCTGAATTCCCTTCTGAGGTGAGGAACTTTCCACTTCTCTCCCTTGTCCTCCAGCCTACTAGGACCCATCTTGTGGCCCCAGTACCTGAGGTCGACCTGGGATCCAGAGACCACGGGAAGGGAGGAGAAGTGACGAAAGCCCTGGGGTGAGCTGTGCAAAGTCAGCGTGTCGAGCAGGGAAGGACTGTGGTTGCAGGTGTTCCCACCTGCCTGGCCCTCATGCCCTGTCTGCTGGCTACAGCTGGGGCTGCCTCTTATCTGCTGCCGCTCCCTCCTTGATGAGGGTAACTTCCATCAAGATTCCCCCCGGGTGAGGTGTGCAGACCAGCAACAACTAGAACCCACCAGCCACATGGGGAGTGCGCAATAGATACTTCTCAAGAACCTTATTCCTCATTGACTCCCCTGGCCCTCTGCCTGAGTGTCCTCTGCCTATGTCTTCCACAATAGCAGTCAAACCTCAAAAAGACCAGTCCAGCCTGTCTTGAAGAAGATCCCACAGAGCTGTGTCCGAGGCAGCTTAACTCCAGGTTAACTTCTGTCTGGTTTCTCCCCTTGAGAATCTCTGGGACCTTACCCGGCTGAGCTATCTCATTTCGATCCTCTAATTGTGATGGGCAATGATCAAGGCCCTGTTCCTCTCCACCTGGTCACATAGGAAATCCCAGCAGAAACATCTTTCCACAAACTTATGAGGTGCTCCATTCTATGGAGACACCATGTACAAGGTGGCTGAGGCTGGTGGCCTTTCCTTCATCATCCCCAATGCTCAGAAGCTGCTGGGGATACCGGTTGCCAATAGGGGAGCAGAGAAGTTGTGCAAAGATAAATCAGAAGAGGGTTTGTTTCTGAAATAAATGAGCCCAGGCTATCCCCTGGATCCTCTGGTGAACCTATTAAAGTCACTGGGGGACAAGCAGGAAACTGCCACCACACAACCCTTTTGGATCACAAAAGACAAACAGCAGCAGCTCTCTCGGTCTCTGAAGCAATATCCCATGGGCTCAGAGGATCCTTTACAGCAGAAATGCAGCCAGCTGTATCTGGGGCCTCCCCTCGCTGCATAGTGAGTCCTTGGTGGCAACTGCCTGGGTCTCTAGTAAACCTGCCCCGTGCAGCTCTAATTCGGTTAAATTCAACAGACCATCTTCTACAATTTCGGTACAAATTGTGGCTGATATTCCTTCTCAGCTTCCCCAGGGCCAGCCTTTGCCTCATGCTGCTCCTCTTCCCCAACCTGTGCCTCAAAACTTGTCTCCACCTGGGGCTCAGTTCAAGTCCCAGGACTCTCTCCCCAGTTCTGTCCCAACCCTACCATGCTCTTCTCACACTAAGAACTGTAGAACATCTCAGCCTGCAACCCAGAAACGGGCACGCTTTTTGATCGTCACTGGAGAGCAACAGCAGGAACAGTCCTTGCAGAATCCACAAAAATGGAAGTCTGTAAACACTGAACTCAGAAAACCTCAGGCATCGTTTGGCCAAGCCACTCCGAGCCTTTCCCAGGACAGCGGGGCCTCTGAGACCCACCAGTCAGTCCCTACCCTTCTTGGGGATTCCATCAGCCCTGAGGTCCAAGGACAGCAACAGAGACATACTCAACAGAGACTTATCAAGTTCAGATACCCTGAGAGGCCTCCCTGGGAATTTCAGGAACAGATGCAGCCTCAGGGCAAATTCCCAGAGGAGTATCCATCTAGGACAAGGGACAGGGCTGAGCACTCCCAGCCCTCTCTGGTCATGGGTAAAAGCAGCAAGGTTGTGAGGAAGGTGAGGGGACGGCCCTATATAAGATTCTGTGAGGTCCCAGCAGAGGTCAAGCGAGAGAAGAGCCCAGACGAGGACCCAGGGCAAAATCTGAAGAGGAGCCCAGGAGATCTACCCAGAGGTTCAAGACTCTCATCTCAGGAAGTTCTGCAGGATGCTCAGGGGGAGACAGAAAGGCCCACCACGAGGCTCTGGAAGTGTGATTCAGACAATTTCCATCTCAGCAGCCCAGATGAGAATCATTTCCAGAAAACACTGAAAGCCCCTGGGCAATAAGCTGGGGCAGGTCACTGAGGACAGGGTTCCCGTGAGTGTGCATCAGTCCTATCTTGCAGCAAGCCGTGCTGCCCCCAGGCCTGACACCTGTCTGAGCCCCAGGTATGTGGCATCCCGGGAGGGCCCGGGCTCCTACGTGAACACCTTGCAGGAACTTCCTTTCCTGCCTCAGAGCACTTGGCAGAGGCTGGAGACCCACCTGGCAAGGGGCAGAGTGAGGCCCAGGTGGGGTCCACAACTCCAGACCCTCAAGCCCAGATGTGTCCAGTTAGGGGAGCCCCAGCAATTACCCCTCCCACAGTTGACCTTGCCCTTCTGGGTCACCCGTGGATCTGGGACCAGCCTGAGAGCTAAGGTGGCCACACTCCTGAAGAACCACCTCGGAAAGCTCCAGGACAGGAAGGGCTAACAAAGGCCGTCCGCAACTTGCAGACTCCTCTCTCTGCTCCCTCACCTGCATTTAAGAAAGTCCAGGGGACCCCGAGTCAGACGCCAGCCAACAGCACCGGACAGTGGGCCAGGTGGTCCTCCCAGCTCTCCCAAGCACCCCCAAGGGCAGAACTGAGCAAATGGTGATCACAGGGACTGGGAGAAGTGGCTTGGAACTATGTCCAAGTCCAGCACTAGCCAGGAGTGGGCCACAGGAACAGAGAGAGAGAGAGAGGCCTCCCCAGATGCCGGCCATCACAGAAAATCCCTGCATAGCAGTATAGGGTCCCAGTCCTTGAGGACCGAAGACAGCATGGGGACAGTGAAGCCCAAGGAGAAGAGTCTGGCTTGGAAAATCATTGTGGGGGTCAGCACACTGGCAAACTTAAAAATCATTAATGTGAGTCCGAGCAGCTCAGGGTCTACAGGGAGGAGTCACAGCCGCTCTCCTGCTGCCAAGAAGGTACAAGAGCCAGGCCTAATATCACAATGCGTCAATGACCTTGAGATTAAGGTTGAGATTCAGGCAGAGCACCAGGCTCCCAGCCCTGCCCGAGGTGTCCTCCTTCAAGACCTCACCACTGGCATCATCTGTCAAGGCTGCACTGGTGGAACGAGGATTCAAGACTACCTCAGGGATGTGGTTGCCAGGGCCTCTCGGGCCACTCCGGCTGGCTCCCAGAGCTTCTGGTAGGAAAGCGTCAGCTGCCCAGGAGACACATGACTTCACAAGGATGGCAGGGAGCAGCCAGGGGCAGCAGGTGCCCAGGTCCCAAGTAGTTCAGAGCCCATGGAAGAACCAGATCAAGATGCCTGGCCCTGATACGACAGGGGGCTAAAGGAGGCCTAGATCAGGAGGGCAGGAACAGGGGCTGGGAGGACCCGCGTGCTCACAGACCAGTGGGATGAGCCACCCTGTCCAGGGTAGGGGAATAGGAAACGTGCTTGGAAGTAAAGACCCAGAGCTCTTGGAGGAGCAGGGACAGGCACCCACAGAAAGGGGTGATCTTTTGCATAGATCTTTTGCCTATGATCTTAGGCATAAGATCATACTTATTAAGTATTATAACCCCATTAAAAAGACAAAAGGGTTAGAAGAGCCCCTGCAGAAAGACAAACCCCCAATGGCTACTGCCCAGTATTGGGGATGAGTCATGGGCAAAGTGTTCTCTGACAGCCGGGGTGCAGATGCCCAGGCGCTCAGTGAGATCTGCTGAACGAGCTGAGGCTTCAGCATGCAGAGGGTCCGTATATGTTAAATTGGCACAAAGAAGAATTCCATCCTGTGTGGGCAGGCGTTCCAGCAACCACAGTATTCACTTGTACCCAGAGCCGAAAAGAGTGATGAACGATGTGGCCTGTAGTCCTGACAGCATGCATCATCACCTGCAGGAATCATCTCCTGGAATCCAGAAAGGAGGAAAGTTCACAGAGGGAAAAGCCAAATCAGAAACCTGGAGAGTGGCTCAGAGTCTAGTGACCTTGACATACACATGTGGCCCCAGGACTCCTCCCAGGGAGAGGGAGGGGACTTCAGAGGCCCAGGGACTGGGCTAGGGTCACAAAGACTCTGACCTGGCTCCTTGCTTGCTCCAGAGACTTGCAGGGGAGACACAAAGTGTCCTGTGAAAAATGAAGGGGAGGGGCAGGCCAGGAGTGTCCCTGCTCTTCCCTCCCTCGGTTTCTAGCACAGGTTTCCTCTACCCAGGGCCCCGATCACATGGGAAAGCAGGAGGCTCCACAGCAGCAAAAGGAGGCGCCGTTTCTCCAGTGATCTCCAAACTGGGTCAGCACAGTGGAACAGGCCACAGGCTCAGGCTCTGGCCAGCTTCAGGACCCACAGCTTCTCCCTGGAGCAAGGCTCCTTCTAGGCCCAATTACCCAGGCAGCCTCCAGGGTGGGCTACACACAGCTAGGACCCCTGGAGGGGTTGGGCTCTCAGAGTGGGACCCCCCACATCTGGGCCCTGATCCAGCTGCTCGGCTGGTATGCCAGGGCTCCGAGAGGCAGGTTCTGGACTGCACAGGAGTTAAGACATGTCACCCCAGCTCTGGGGAGAAGTGCAAGGATGGTGATGCCAGGGAGCACCGAGGCCCAGGAAGAGTGGATCCCTGTGCTACCCCCCCTGCCCCCATGAGCTTTAGAGAGGTCAGTGAGAGCGATCTCCCAGAGACATCCACAGAGACCCACACTAAGGGAACACCTAGAGACCTTCATGGGAACCCACACACAGAGACCTGTTCAGAAACGTACATGCATAAACTCCTAGAGATATCTAGAGATGCCCAGAGACCCCCAGAAACTTCAGAGCAACATTTTGTTAGAGAGCAAGAGCAGAGAAAGTGAGAATTCAGTCACCGGGGGGGGGGAAGGGCCACACCATAATCCCCTGTACTCCATTTTCCTCTGGGGATTTTGGGTAAGCACGCACATATAACCAGTGTGAGTTTCAAGCTGCCAAATCTGGGCCTGAAGCCACATAGCCTTGTGAAATCCAGCCACCTTACCCTCTCCAGAACCTGCTAATCTGTATAAAGTGACCAGGAGTCAACTATGGATGCTCCACACTGATGGCCTCATCCAATCCCAGTCATTTCCCAAAGGCCCTCCTTTTAACACCATAATCAAAATAAGTCTCCATCCTCTCGACACTGTCTCAATGGCTCACCAAATTTCGACACATGAATTTCTGGGGGACACATTCAAACCATAGCACTGTTTCAAAATGGTTTATTACACAGCAATAGAAACCTGTCATCTATCACCCATCCACCCATCCATCGATCCATCCAATCTAATGAGCTGAGCTACGCTAATTAGTTATCTGTGCAGTTACCTCTGAAAACCATCTACAGTTCTTAAGCTGTTAAAAACAAAAAAACAAAAAACAAGTGCACAATTTAAGGCTGTATAGCAAGAACATAAAAAATTATAATTATTGATCCTTTTATAACATTTCTGAAATAAATGTAAAACTCAGGTGCATTCAGGAAAGTGAGAATATTACTTTTAAAAAATCAATACATATATTACACAAATATAATGTTTTATAAGAAATTTTTTTTTCAAAAGAAAATTGCCCTGGGAGTAAATTACTGGAAAAATTTAAATATTTGTCTTTTATTTCTATTGAGTATGTATTAAAACATCTTAAAATTTATACCAAGAAACCTTCTCCAGACCACTGACATACTAAATTAAAATAATGATGGCAATTGGAATTTTTAAAAACAATTATTTATATAATTTTATTTATTATTATTATTATTATTTTATTTGATCAGTGAGAGACAGACAGAGACAGAGTGAGAAAGTGCAAAAGCAAGTTGCCAGGTCTGAGACTTGAACTACAGTCAGCTAAGTAGGAGTACAACACCTTAACCACAACATAGTCTTTTTTTTTTTTTCTTAAACCATACAGTTTTATGGCTGTGTACCATCCTCTTGCTTCACTGACCATTCTGGGGAAGTCTTCCACCTACTGAACAGGGACTTCTGGCTGTCCATCACCATCCTTGCCCTTCCCATTCACAATGGCTGCATAACCATCAGTCTTCTGCTCTCTCTGCTCGATACCACCCACAAATTCCTATACTCTACAGTGACCTGCATGCAACATAACCTATGATCACCTGGGGTTTTAAGAGGAAAGCTAAAAGTTGTTGGTTTACTGGGAAATACAGTGGCCAAGTTTGGATTTGAGTCCTGTGGGTCAGGACTCTACATGTAATATTGGTAATAGCTTGTAAAAGAAGAATGAATAGCTATGGGCCTTTCTGGTCAAGGAGAAGTAATTGTCGAGTATTTAAGTGTTGAGTCACTCTAAAGGGAGTATTTGATCTAGGGTAGGGGAGATTAAGGTTTTCAATAGGGATACGGTCTGGCAGTATTCTTGACCAAAGTTCTCGATTTGTGGAGGTAATGGTATGTCTGAGATAGGAATGTGGGATAAATTCACAATAAGATTGGGTAGCTGAGAAGGGCAGGGGTCTAGGGTTTTGAGGCGGGGTAATGGGTGAGGGTGTTGGGTTTTGAGGGGGATCTGGGAGTATGGTTGTGTCTAGGTCATCTGATTCAGTGGAATAAGTTCTGGGGTATTTGTTGTAGTCTTTGTTTGGGTCAGGAGGAGGATTTCTTCTTTTCATTTTATTTATTTATTTATTTTTTGGAGAGATTTTTGCTATAGGGCGCGTGTGCTTGCCAGAACGACAGAGAGAGACAGAGAGATAGAAAGTGAGAAATCACTTCCAAGGGGGAAAGGGGCATGCCACAATCCCTTCTCCTCCATTCTCCTCTTGGGATCTTGGGCACGCATGCACACATGCCCGGCGTGAGTTTAAACAACTGGGTCCAGGACTGGAACCACTGTTGGCTACATGGGAGTTCAATAACATAGCCGTTAACGCTACCTGCTGGTCCTGTTCTTTTCATTTTATTAAAAGACAATTAATGTTAAAGGTTGGGAGTGATCCGGGAGGAGAAATGGGTCCCTGTCCAGACAAGGTTTTAGGGTCAGCAATCAATATACTATTAGTAGGCTATGACAAAGATGGTTAGCCAGAATCTAAGGG